GCTCACGCCCCAGTTATATCTTACTTTTCAGGTCAGCAGGTCGGGCCGGCGGCGTGACGTGACGGAACAGCTCGGGACATTCAGGACATTTGTTTATATACTTTTGGACTGTATAACTAATAGTTATGCTTCTGCTTACTTTTGAACTATCTTTTGTCGATGGTTTGATGGTTTTGACAGTTTTATCGTATTTTGACGAACTTTTCAGAAAACTGAAGTTTTAAATAACCGGACGTTTTAATAAGTTAAAACAACGGTTTTTCTAAAGTTAAGTAAAGATTTTCACGGTAGCACCCCAAAACAGTTTCGCAAAGTAAAAATGTTTAGTTTTCACAGACTTTGCGATTAGATGCGCCACTCTGATTTACTAGTAAGGCGGGGTGTTACAGTTTTTGCTTGATTTTAGTGAGGAATTTAAAAGCGGAAAAAAATGAGATCTAAGAGGATGATTGGATATAAATTTTTTTTGTTTTGTTTGGATTTTTTTGTTTGGTTTGGTTAGGTTTGAAAAAGTTGGTATGGTTAATTGTTAGTGGATATATTAAAATAATATTTAATATAAAATAATTAAAGTTGATTTGATGTAAAGTAGGAAAAAGAAGATTTGAAGTGATGGTTAGTTAAAATTATGTGAGTGGATGAATAGTGAATTAAGGTTGATGTGTTGTGTAAGAATGAGTGATTGATAATATTTAATTATATTGATAATATTGATGATAGTGTGGTTGAGTTAAAGTTGAGCTAAAAAGGTGGTTGGATTAAAAATGTTTGGATTTTTTTGAGAATTTTTTGTATCCAATAAGGTTGATGTGTTGTGTAAGAATTTTTTGGTTGGATTAAAAATGTTATTGGTAGTTATTTTTCTCATTTGAATGGTTGGGACAGTGTCTTAGATCCTATAATTTGATGAGGGCTCTTTTGGTGGTCTCTTTTGAAAGGCGGGAAAATCGGTTGGTCAAACCAAAACATTCTTTATAAAAATGCAGATTAAAAAAAAAAAAAAAAAAAAAAAAAAAAAAAAAAAAAAATTGGAGTTTTGGTCATAATAATTCTCCAAGACAAAGGTCTTTGGAAGGGTCTTGGAAGAAAATATATTTTAATTTTCATTAATATTGGTAAAAGTCAATTTTGAAAGTAACTAGATATATTTGTTATTTAAAAAAATGGCTATGTTTAAATATTCTTTATGAAACATAATGTTTTAGTTATTTTTATTTTTTAAATAAGTAGAGTATTGAGATTTTCTTTAAGTGGTATCCCCACATTCATCTGGGGTGTCTCACTACGAACTCTCAAAATGCTCGCTGAGCCCCCAACAGAATACGGACCTAACCGGTCTATGGCCCAAACAGGCTACGGGATCCATGCCCAAAGAGGCGGGACTAATGCACCCAAAAATGTAGGAGTGCTCCATCTCTAACTCCCATGAAAGTCAAGATCGAACACCAGACATAGGTCTTTGGAAAGTTCTTGTAAGAATATTTTTCAATTTCATTAATATTATTAAAAGTTAATTTTCAAATGAAACGTATAATTACTTGCGAGTGCGCGAAAATATAGTAAGAACGTGGATAAACAACGTAAATAGCAGAAATAATAAACCGAAGATTTTAAAACTCTTCAGGGAAGCGTCCCACTTCCCCTCAGAGCTCTTTCATTGATAAACCGTTCACACTTGTATAGTTTGGACTTACACGACTTGAACTCTCTTCTAGTCTAGCCACAACTACACACGATCATATCAACTACTTCTCCGGCCATGTCCCGTGGACTTTACACACTCGAATCCCTCGAGCAAAACCAGTACTTAATCCCTAAGCACTAAAATAAAGTGTTTGTAAAAGAAAAGAAACAAAACGAGTTCAGTTCTTCAGCAATGTAAGAACGCTGAAAAACTGGACCGAATAAAATAAAAATAATAGAAACTCTCAAACACTCAATTGAAGCTGATAAATGATGAACTCGATTAGCAGCAGTTCTCTTGTCTTCAATTGATTGCTTGAGTAGGCTTATATACAACCTCCTTAAGGTAAGGAGTCTTCATGGTTCTTCCTTTACCTTTTAGGAGTCAATTTCCTTCTCAATTGATTGCTTTCTGATTTGGATGAAATCCTTCATGTAAGGTAAGTTTCCTTGATGTAGAAATCGTGCATGTGATTTTGAGATCTTCAAAATTGAGCTTCCAATGGAAAAACGCGTTCTAAGAATCTGGTAAGAGCATGATTTTCCAAAAATAGGCGATCTTCCAAATCTTCAAAGATCTTGTGGTGAATCTTTTCAAATCCTCCTTAAATCTTCTCATGAACGTCCAGAACTCTTCTTGTATGGAAAGTTCATCCTTTCATAGTCCTTGCCACCTATTCCTTGTCCTACAAGAAAGAGAGAACTAATTATGGCATGTGGCATATATGGTAAGTAAATATATAAGATATATATTATGTAATCCTTCTCCTATAGGATTAGGATTTCATAATACATACTAAAATAAATATATACCATATATTATTAATAATAAATATTAGGAACTTAATTAAATCACAAGTAAATAAATAGAAAAACTTCCCTTTAATTTATTTTGCTTGTTTAACAAGAAATCTTCTAGAAAACACTTAGGTTTGTCGGACATGCTGCCAAACCAATGTTCTTACAATCTCCCCCTTTGGCATTCAGTTCGAAAATCGTGTTTCTTGAAGATAACCTACAAAATAAACTCAAAACAGCAAAGCAATTATCTATGTTCGAACATCAGGAAGTAAACTACTCAAACACCTACAGTGTAAGAACATCAGAACACTTCCTATCAAAACAACTATGAGGACTATGTTCAGAGCAATCAAAAGACATCAAACTATCAGAACCTAAGTCAAATAGAGTGATCAATTCATCTCCCCCTGTCAGAACAGACAAAACAATCAAACAGCAAAACACACATGTTCTTACATCATGTAGAAGCATATCAAAAACAGCAACCACAAATAATCAGAAGCAAACAACTAGAACATAATCCCAAACATCTTCAGAAACATCCTATATTCTCCCCCTTTTTAGACTGAACTGCCAAAGGAAAATCTCCCCCTGAGTAAGAACATCAAATGAGAAAAATAAAGATGACCGAAGACAAAAGACGTTGCCTGAACTGATCTCTAATCGCTGGTATGCTGTCCATCTCTTCTCCAGGCCTTTGCCATCATCCAAAGTGTTTCAAAAGCACATTAGAAAATGATGCAGGAACACAAATGGTTAAACGAATAATTCATAGAGAAAGAGAATGAAAATGAGGTTCTCAGGTTCTGAAAATAAAGATATATAGTGAGGACATAATGAATGAAAAATGTCACAATGTAATGGGTAAGTTTAAAAAATCAAGGGAAAGGTTGAATACTATGCAGTAAGAACGTTCCCATCAAAACTGAACACACAAACCCATTAACACACTAACACATGTGTCCAACTAATTCAAAATTAGAAAGAATAAGATTTTATCATCCAAAAATAAATCCCCTCACAATTTTTTAATGCCCAAGTAATTCAATCAAAGAAGGAAATCTTATGCAATATATGCCTAGTATGAAAATAAAATAAAATCGCATGCAAATTCACTAGACCCAATAAAATCTTTTCCTTATCCTCTTAAACATGATTGATGAAAAACAATCAAGAATCAATATTGATACAAACTTCCCAAGGAACATACCATAAGCAGATATATATATAATATACAATGTAGTGCAACCCACAAACTTCAATAAAGTAAGAACACATGCCTTATTATTCACGTGTGTTTCACTTAGTAACAATCACACTACTGGTGAAAGTCAACCCCATTACTTTGCACAATGATTTTAAGCAAGGATCCCACGTTTTTTTTTAAATAGCACTATGGTTTTTATGAGGATGAACACCTTATATCTCCAAATAAAAACATCACACAACAATGTGCAATGGGTGTCACTAGCTTACGCCCTTCTCAACATTTTCTGTCTCAGACGCTCTTTTCACAGTCGATCCCGCATTGGGAAACGAACCATGTGCTAGCTATCGCTCTCGATCATTTATGAGAAGGCA